AGAACATATATTTGCTTTCTATTCGACAAGAAGGACAAGGAAAAGATAATGGATATGGAACACAAGTCCTGGCACTATTGGAAAATGAAGCTCTCTCAGTTCAAACATATGAGTATATTATGGAAGTCTTGAAGCAAGATGTCTTTCATCCTAATTCACATTTTAGGCCTATTCCACTTGACTCACGACTGCTTAGAAACTAGTTCGTAGATTTCGCTTCAACAACTCGATCTTTTAAGTCGCTACTCTCACACGGAATCCCAAGTTCGGGGCCTTCGTTCTTGTGAAGACATATGGCTTTGATAGTTGGGAGTCAACCATCCTTTACCCGACCAAATTGAAGAGCCTTTTACCACTCAAATTTAATAAACCAAATAAACCAACCCAACTAACGTATTTACTTTACAACAGTTGTTATCTTTCTCAAGATTCTTTTTATACAACAAGCTTGCCCGGGGCTACCACATGCACCATCAACCACATGATCTGGGGACTAGTTTTGCACATTTTTATTGTACCTTTGGCAACAGAAGTCTCAACCAAACACCCCCGTCCCTCGGTGTGAGTTGCAACAACACTGGGTGGAAGTTATCCACCTATCGATGGTTAGAACCAGCTAAAGCCGATTGAAGCGTTCTTGATACATTATTGCACATCTCAAGCACAAATTGGATTTCATTGAGGAAACATTGCTCCACTGAGGCGCTCCGCAGACGCTTTTTATTTCACTTTTATTCTATGGACGTTGAGGCTGAATTGCACAAATCATGATTGATATTTATTGGGCTGACTTTTGCAAAATGGAGCGGGTACTGAAGCGGATATGGATAAGACTTGGATCGGATAAAGCTGCTTCGGATATTCTTCGATTACCGATCTGAATCGGATATTCCCAACAAAAGATATGGATACTAGTATGTTACGGATAGAATGTAGGTGAGTCCTTTGGAAAGTGAATAACCGAACTAAGTAGAATTGATTGCTAGGGATTGTGTTCTCAAGGATGGCTTTAGCATTGATCCATAACAACCCGAGATTGACTCAATCGAACATAGAAGTAAGAAACATCCGTATGCTTTCACGAGCGAAGCAAATAGCTACGCGACTACATCGGAAAGTCTTTGAAAGAAGTTGCAACGCACGCTCTTTTCCTTGGATACAAGCTGCTACTCAATGGATTTACCATTTGGGGCATTTTATTGACCAGACTTTCCAATCAATTAAAGAAGAGGCAAGTTATTATGTAAGATAATAAGAATAGTGGAGTGGAGATGATGAACCTGAACATTGCACTAGAGTAGCGAACTTAACTTAATTAAGCACACATACTATATGTCAATTGGTCGTTGCATTTAACCTATATTGACTAAGCGGTATCATTAACAACCTACCTTTCACTAAGAAGCGGTACCAACCACGGACTTCCCGAGAATCAATGAAGGAGTTCATTCAACACCGAGCCGAAGCGAGCGTAGATTCAATATGTTGATTATACCGAATGAAGGATTTGCCTTATCACGAAAGCCACATTCGTTTCGTTTGAGGAAGTCACACGTCCTGCTCCCTATAAATAAGGAGATTCATTCTTTTTTCAAAAATCCCTCTTCTTCCTCCTCAAGCCCCTATCACAAGACCAAGCGGATCTCATCCTGCGAAAGACTCGTGAGCGAGATCTATCTAATGGCATGGTTGGTCAGTCGGATGTGATCTAATCTCGTGTCACATCGCTTTCTTTTTCTCCCTCCATTTTCTTCACTACTACCGCTCCTACACATAAATCAAAGAAGCATTGTGGAATAGTGGCATTTCGTTAATGGCGAAAATGTTCTTAGTGAAAGGGTTGCTGTGGCAAACTTCGAGAGCGGTCTCTGAAAGTGAATAGGAGCATAGCGGTATCATCCAAGCCAAACACGTCTCCTTAGTCAAGGTCGCGCAAAAAGAAGATCAAAAACATAACAACTGATTTAAGCAATGCATGTCACCCACCCGCTCTCAATACAGCAAAAGTGACTCTCTCTCACAAGACAGAGAAAGATTACCGATTCATCCAATTTGATCGAAGTGAGTTCATTGTTGTTGTATAGCAAAACCTTTCCTTGACAAAACCATTCTCGACTAATAGAAGCCAAGCTATCTATCAGATCGGGGTTGAACGAAGTGAATGGAAAAGCCAAAGAAAACATAAATCCATTGTGATTAGAAACACCGTGACTCTACATCCGAGGCTCGATGACGATGTAAGATAGAAAGAATGGGAAGTTAGGGCTTGGTTTCCTCTGTGGCGGTTCCAATTCCATATCATTTGCCGACATGCGGACTCACTTCTCTTTTATGGGATGAAAAAGCCCTTGTCTATTTACGTGGGTGAATCAAGTACAACAAGTCGGTCGAGCTTGTGGTAGAAGATTGGGCTCTGATGCGTATATCCACTCAACAAGGAAAGAAATGCGCATTCTTGACCGACCGCTTGAACGATCCTAGTTACTAGTAAGTAGCTAATCAAGTCGAGTAGGGTGGCCGAGAAGCTTCTTGCCGGTGCCCCCCAAAGCAAAGCACAGACTCTACTCACCCACGCGTTTTCCACCTACGGAGGGAGAAATCATCGAAATATCCTCATCCCCCGAAAGGGAACCCAAAAAGGACGAGAGTGGATAGGGTGACTAAGGAGGTAGTAAAAATTAGTAGTGAATTTTGGAAAGAGAAGATTACAAAAGGCAAGAGCAACATAATCGTTAGTTAGGGGTAAGAGGGGACGGCCCGTATAGAAAGTCAATCCTTCTTTTTCCGATATGCATTCCATAAGCAAGGAGTGCCACGCATGAGCGGAGCGAAAACTAAGCAAGGGAATTCCGTCATTCCATGGAAAGCATGTGAAATCCTTTGATTGTTTATAGAATCAAAATCGGTATATAGTCTTTCTTGTTCCACTTGCAAGGCAAGGAAAAAGAAAATGTCGGTTCGTTATTACAACCTTATTTTTTATGTCAAAGACAAAAAGCTACGTGCAAATTCTCATTGGATCTCGGTTGTTCTTAATAAACAATGGCTATTCATTTAAGTCTTGGGTAGCACCACCAGATCTTCAACAAGGTGGAAATTCTTGTATTTCAGTATGTACATGTTCCTGCTCTCGGATGAGTATAGTTATTTATATCGCGACAACTATAAACAGTTCCTTGTTCCCATTAACAAAACATCCCTTTTTCTTCGCTCTTCCGAACCGGTGATAGAAATTGGTGCTTTTTCTACTTTGTTTACGTTAATGACCGGGGGTTTCGGGAAGGCCTATGTGGGGTACCTTTTGGGTGTGGGATGCTGCTCGTTTAACTTTTGTATTCATATTGTTTCTTATTTACACAGGTGCACTGCGTTTTCAAAAGCTTCATGTCGAACCGGCTCCTATTTCAATCCGTCTTTGGACCGATCGATATACCAATAATAAAGTCTCCAAATAACTGGTGGAATACATCGCATCAACTCAGGAGCATTAGCCAATCTGGTACATCAATACATGTTCCTATGCCCATTCCAATCTTGTCTAACTTTGCTAACTTCCCTTCTCTACCCGTATCACGTCTTCCTATTCCATCTTTTCCCGAATCTCCCTTAACGGAAGAAATAGAAGCTCGAGAAGTAATACCACTAAAAACCTAGTTCACTCTCAAATAAAAACCTAGTTCACTCGCTAAAGCATCCATGGCTGAATGGTGAAAGCACCCACCAACCTAGAAAGGCTCAATGGGTAAAAAAAAAGTAGGTTCGATTCTGCTTGGATGCACTTTGCCTCTTAAAGACGTAAACAGAGGAGGGAAAGAAGGTAGTATAGGGAACTTGCTTTTGGATTCTTATCGAAAGTGAATCCTCTAACACTTCAGTTAGTGTTTTATGAGAAAATCTTTGCGACCTAGACACAACAAGTGTGAAAATCTTAGTCACTAGGCAAGAATGGAAAGAGCTTCTTTACCTACTTGAGAGGGAGTCAAACAGTCTGAGGAAGCATAGCTATAGCAACGTAGTGTTTGAGAAAAGTGTGCACGGAGTAATAGGCACGAGAGCTACCCGCAACTAAAAGAGTTAACTTCTAGAATAACCGGAAATTGATTTTATTATAACTCTAATTGTGGGTGGTTCGTTACTTTTGAAGTGGTAAGCAAGTGATCCTCACAATTCGTTTTACTGACTCTACTCTAATTGTAAGATAACTAGAAATAGGAGATGAGAAAGTTGAGTAGCAAAGACCTTGATGGGAACATTTTTGAAACTAGAATGGTTGATAATAGGAGACTCGCGTTGTAGGTAAGGCTTTTCAAAAGCCTCGACTTGGCTAACGCCCTTTGGTTTTGAGGATCAATTTGCCCGTGCTTGCTGGTGTCAGGGTCGCAGATAAGATAAGTTGTTTCGGTGCCATTTCCTTTGTTATGAATGAAATTTTGGAGCTCAGGCGGACGAGGGTTCCGGAGGCACCTGCTCTCCCGCTACTCCGTGCGCGCAGAGGTATGGGACGGGGAAGACAGAGGGCTGCGGAGATGTGGATTCTCTCGGGAGCGGTTGCGGAAGCCAGGGAATGGACTGCAGATATATGGCTGCGACCGGGGAAGGAGACGTAGGCAGCGAAGAATCTTAGGAGACGGTAACTGACGCAGTCAATTCGACTCCACCATCAAGAAGCGAAACTTCCGTGATAATGTGGTTTTAAGTGGCAAAAGACTAGCCACCCACGCCCGCCTGCCTCGGCACAGCCACGGCCCACGCCCACTCCCACGGCCCGGCCGGCGGCGGTGGCGGCGCACGTGGCACGTCTTTATCATTTTCTCAGCTTCTCAATTTAGATGAATAATTTTCAACCATATAAGCTGAGTCAGCGTTCAATAAAAATCTCATATAATATTAAGCCATACAACACTTAATGTTACGTACCATAAAATTTTATTTGATTTATTAAATATTATATGGGCCAAGCCCATATTATATCGCAACACATGAGTCACGACCTCGGCCGCTCAATGCTGTCGCCTCGACACCTCCTCGTGAGCGCGCTCTAGCCCCTCCACCGCACCTTCGGCCATGCCCCGCCCTTCGTCGTCCTCCATGCCGCTGAACACACATCGACCCTCATCTTCGACCACCGCGTAGCACACCTTCTCCGCAGCACCAGCAGTCGGGCAACGCCTTCGTCCACCACGTCGACGAGGACGAGCTTGTGCCACCCGCGTGGATCTGCGGCGTTCCCATGCCTCCCACCGGCATGAGCCGAGCCCATACGCGGCGGCGTCCGCGTCCGCACCTAGCTCCACTTCTCGCATCTCCTGTTTGGGACAAGTTCCTGTTGCCCGCACTGGCTGGCCCTGGGGCCAGGGATCCTGCCGCCCATAGCAGAGCTCGCGCGCCGCCTCCACTCGCGCATGCGCAGGGGAGGAGCTCTGGTATTGCGGCGGTGATGCGATGTTCGGCAGCGAGAGGATGGATCTAGATGAGTGTGTGGACAGAAGCCTTGATGTGGCTGTGCGGGAAGAGACAAAAATGAAATGAGTGGACTAGAGCATCTTGCTAGGCGCAGTCGGTTTCCTTCTTTTTAAGTCGATTTTTGTTTCTTTGGTCTTCGTCGTAATATATCACTCGCCGTCCATCACTTATGTATAAAAGAATATTAATATTTATAATACATAATTAATATCATTAAATAGATCTTTGAATATATTTTCATAATAAACTTATTTGAAAATATAAATGTTACACATATTTTATACAAAGCTAGTTAAAAATACGAAAATTTGACCTACACGCATACTATAACGACCTCTATTTCGAGACGGAGGAAATAGTCTATATGCCTGGCTATTCTACTGTGGTTTGCCATCTGGTGCTACACATGGAACCTTATGACATTCAATCACTTAGGAACATCTGCAACAATAAGAGTCAATTACTGGCTCTAAGTCAACATCTTCAACAGTGTTAGCTTTTAGCAATGACTCAAAGCATGTGTTACTATCTCTAAGTCAACATCTCCAATAGTGTTAACTTTTAGCAATGGTTCATAGTATGATTAGATATATACCCCATCCATATTAAAAAAATGAAGTCGTTTCGGACAGCGACACGGTCTCCAAAGCATAACTTTGACTACTTATTTTTATAAAGATATTTATCAAAAAGTGATATATGTAAATTTTTGTGAAAGTATTTTTCAAGACAAATCTATACATATGGTTTCATATTTTCAAACTCAATAATTTAAAAGTTATTCATAATTTATATTCCCAATGTTTGACTCAAGTCTTGTCCAAAACGACTTCATTTTTTAGTATGGAGGAAGGATAACACTCTTACGTGCTCTTGGAACGTGTGTATGAGCTAAAAATATTTAGAGCTAGTTTGTAAGTCAAATATTGTGGGTGCCCTTAGTTCGGGACAAAATTTGAATCGCATAGATTATTTTATGGGTGACAAAATTTGAATTGCGTACATGCGATTATTTTTGGGAGAATTATTTATTTGGCACTAAAATAAATCAGTGTTTCGTATTTGGCACTCCAAAATTTGAACTTTCTTATCTGGCACCTAGTTGAAATTTGCTTTCGTAAATGGCACTATCGTCCATTTAGGACAGTAACAGTGTCAAGTGACCGGCAAAATGACATGAATAACTTTGTTTGCAGTAGAAACCCATGGTACCAAATAGAGAAAGAATAAATAAACAGGATTGGCCTGCTGTTGGGTTCGTGCACGTGGTTGCTGGAGAGGTGTTCCGTGCTTGCTGGCTCTAAACGGGCTTCGACCTTTTGGTCTTGGGCCCGTAGGAACACAACAGAGGGAGAGGGGTACGGTACATAGAAAGGGACAGAGCAAGGGCGTCGTCGTGCTCCTCAAGCACACGTCCGCCGTGGACGGCTGTTGGAGCTCGGCTAGCGGGCGATTTCGGCCACCATTCTTGAATCCAAGGGCATGCGGAGGGAGAGGAGAGGTAGGGGCTTCACGTAGGCTAGCTACCTTGGCCGATTGCAGCGCGGGGAGGGAGATCGGCGGGCGCTCTCCTCTCTGTGCAAGGACAGAGGAGGAAGAAGATGAGCGAGGGGTGGGTGGCTGCGGAGCTGAGCGGCTCGGCGTGGTGGAGAGTCGAGAGGCGAGAGGGGCGCCCCTTGTATAAGCAGCTGGAGGAGCAGGCTCAACACCACGGCATGGCCGCGACAGAGCTGGCACGTGGAGGACGGGCGACGTGCGTGGCGCAGCTGACGCCCGTGCAGCGCGGCGTGGGGTAGTAGCTTTGTAGAGCTACGGAACAAGGCGAGCAGCGGGTGGCTATGGCGCTGAGGCGATAGCTACGTTGACGGTGCAACGGACGCCGGGGCAGCGCGGCGTGCGTGGCGCAGTTATACCTTGCTGCTCTCCCTCTCGCTCGCGGTTATACCTTTGCTCGCCGCGCCATGCGCTCGCCATTGCCGCGCTCAAGCTCCGCCACCGCGTTAACAGCTGCTCGCACGGCCACAACCATCTCCGACACCACCACCCCAAGCCGTGGCTCGTCGAGGAGCCTCGCTAGCCAGCTGCGGCGGCTTAGGCCATGCCCCCCCTACCTAGGCCGCGGCTCGTTGAGCAGAGGCCGAAGGCGGCCTCCCGCGGGGTGGCCTGCTCTCGCTCCGGCCATGGAGACAGGGCAGCCTCGCACAGTGGCACAACAGAGCCGGGAAAGAAGGGGAAGAAGGTCGCGGGATCTGGGATTCCGGGGGCTCTGTCCAAATTTCAGTCTTCTGTATCTAACGGAGGGGTACATTGGACATAGAAAAAAAAACTGACATGGTCAAACCAGTCAACTAACAGATGACAATGAAAAATGGACGACAATACCATTTAAGAAAGAAAATTTTAACTTAATGCTAAATAGAAAAGTTCAAATTTTCAAGCGTCAAATACAAAATACTGATTTGTTTAAGTGACAAATAGATAATTCTTTCATTATTTTTTAGTAGAGCAGTGTGTACGACCAAGGCCATTGTCACGTCCCCCAGACAGAGCAGCCTATTTCACGCATCCTCCCCATGACAATGGCCTTGGTCGTGCCACTTACAGCTACCCAAAACCATCTCCAGCCTGTTCGTTTGGCTGTGGCTTGTCGTAAACAATCGTTAATTTCCCGCTGAAACAGTATTTTTCTCTCACACAAATTAGTCAACAGTACTTCTTCACGAACCAGCAACGAAATGAACCAGCCAACCGAACGTCCCTCGTCTCCACTACTGTTTTCACTGACAACACGCCACGCCCCCTTCTCCACATGCCGCAGAGCGGGTGGCGTGCAATGTCGAGTAACAAAAGTAAAGCCGCCTCCCGGTGCCGATTATTGCCCCCGTCCCGTTAACCCCCAGCTCCGCGCCCGAGATTCCCTGCGGATGACTCACTGACGTGTGGGCCCTCTCTGAGAAACCTGGCAAGCACTAATCGAGCCGCCTCGGCTGCACTGCCCTCGGCGAGAATAAAGACATCCCCACACGCAGCTCGAATCCCCGCACGTGAGCGGCGGAGGCGGCGGAAGGGGGACGGCAATGGCATGCGGCGGGTGCAGCTGCGAGGCGGCGGTGGGGGCGACAGCGTCGGAGGCGTACCTGGAGGGGGAGCCGGTGCGGGAGGCGCGGGAGCTGGTGGCGGAGCTCTGTCGGCACTTCTACGCGCAGGGATGGGTCACGGGCACCGGCGGCAGCATCACCGTCAAGGTCAACGACCCCGCCGTGCCGCTCGTCGACCGCCTCATCGTCATGTCACCCTCCGGTAACGAGCGATTCACCTTGGATTCCTCTCCCTGCCCACCCTTTTGTGTCCTTGGGGGCGCATGTCACCTGTTCGACGAATTGCTGCGTAGTGAACTAGACGCTGCCGCAGATCGCCCCCTGGAAACTAAACGATCGCTTCTGTTACCCAAGTTGTTTGGCTCATGCCATATGTCTCCACGCTTCACGTGCAAAGCCTCTGATCAGTCTCTTTTTGTTGATCCAAATTATTCATGGCCTGGCAGTGAAATGTTATGAAATGGACTAGCTAGGAGTCATTATCATATAAGGTTAAAGCTTAAGGCCAAGTGGTTGTCAATTGAAATTTGAAAGGGACTTTTTAACTAAATTTAAGTTAAAATTTCGAAACAACTGGAAGAGGTTGTTTCGCTGGAAAAAGGCCTAGGATGATGATGGTCTGCCATGGCACCAACTTAAAATTCTGTTACCAAGTTATGGCACACAGAAGTTTGAGCTTTTGAAGTGTGCATCGTTTAGCTTATATCTCAGTGCAGTTCTGCATTGGGAGCTTGAGCTCATGGTATACTGTGAGTTCTGCATTGGGCTGTACTTGTACCACTGACACAATATCTCTTTAGATGTCCAGTGTTGAGCTAACTTAAGCAGTTCAGGCTCTAAGGCATATACACAAGAATATCGATCGGCATCCTTATTTGTGTGGTATTGCTGTCTAGTACCTTTACTGCTAGTTAGTGGGTCTATATGCAGTGTGTGAAAGAAAACACGATTTTATACCTAATATTATGCCAGCACCGAGCTTCAAATTTGAGGATAAGTAGCTATTGTAGTTCATTCCAGTGACAATAAATGTTGTTGACCTCTTTCAGGTGTGCAGAAGGAGAGGATGGTAGCAGAGGACATGTATGTGATGGCTGCAGATGGAAAAGTGCTTTCTGCGCCAGTAGCAAAGCCATGGCCAAACAAGCCTCCAAAGTGTACGGACTGTGCTCCTCTGTTCATGAAGGTTTGTGAATCCTCTCTTCGTTTTAACTTTTGCTGTTGCTTCTGCTTGTTTTGATCTGAAAACTCTAGTTTGCTTTGGTGTTTTGAAGGCGTATCTGATGAGAGGAGCTGGGTCTGTCATTCACAGCCATGGAATAGAGACTTGCATTGCAACAATGCTCAACCCTGGTGCAAAGGAGTTCAGGGTAATTCCTATTGTCCAAGTGTCCTCAATCTGATTAAATGTGTGAAACTGAACATTTTGTGATATCTTCATTTCCAAGGAAAAGCCTACTACGGTTATTAACATTTATCTGCTGATGTTTTAGATGGCATTCAACAGTCTAATGATTTTTAAATTATATCCACAACACGCTTCTGTTTCATGCAATTTATTTCAACAAGAAAGCATGAAGCTGCAACATAAAAACAAACAATACTACTCCCTCCATTCAAATTGTAAGTCGTTCTGACTTTTCTAGATACATAGCTTTTATTATGTATCCAGACATAATGTATATCTAGATGTGTAGCAAAAGCTACGTATCTATAAAAGCCAGAACGACTTAAAATTTGGAATGGAGGGAGTACCTTTTTTGTGTGCACAGACTAAGTTCAACAGTGATTGCATGCATACATGCATGAGCTAGTTGGATTGGACCAGTGATCTGGACAGTGGCTTCATACAAATTCCCTTAATTCTCCATACAGCGTACTGTAATGTTAATAAATGTATGGGAAAGAACTAAAGTGGCAGGGATGTTCTGAGAATCCACTAACATGTAAAGTGATAATTTAATTTGTTGGTAATATCACACCCTAGCTGGAAATTTGATTATATACTATGGCCAGGATTTAGAAACTAAAATTCATAGTAACTTCTATTGTATGCTAAAATAGCTGTGGTAAGAAAATCCTTATTTGACTAGATACTGACGGTCTGACGCTGATCTTACTGCAGGTGACCCACATGGAAATGATAAAAGGAATCAAAGGTCATGGCTACCGTGATGAATTGGTCATTCCTATTATTGAGAATACTCCTTATGAGTATGAGCTCACTGACTCCCTAAGTGAGGCGGTATGCTATCAAACTCCTATCTTTCAATCATCTCAATCCTAGAGACCAAATCTATAGGTGCAGATACAATCTTATGCTGTTTTGGAGTTTTTAGTTCTTATGGGTGCAGATAAGATATCATTCCAGCAATGCGCTTGAGGTTAAGGATTTGAATCCAAATTCCCTGCCTAACAGGCTTCTAGGGATAACCTTATAAGTTATAACAAGTCAATTCAAGGCTTATTAAGTCTCTATGTTTTAAATTTATTTGATGATAAATGGTGCAAATTACCGGTTTTATTTGATGTTCATAGCCTCTGATTATAGTTACTGTAAAAGTTTAGCCATTATCATAAATTATCAGCCCAATTTGGTTGTTTTCTACAATACTGTTTGATTTATCTAGAGTTTGAGCCAAGACCACATATTCTTGAATCTTGATAACAAAGTTGTGATGAGTATTTTAGATGTATGTAGGCCATTGATACAAAATTATTTAACAGATTGAAGCATACCCAAAGGCAACTGCTGTGCTTGTAAGGAACCACGGAATATATGTATGGGGTGACTCTTGGATCAATGCCAAGACACAGGTGTGCTTTCTATCTGTGAATTTCTGCAGTTGTTTTAAAATGCTCTGGACTCTGACTGTTGCCTACCATTCTTTTGATGACCTCTCACTGTTATTGTTATCTGTGTTTCTGCAGTTTAGGCTTCTGGTTCCTTCATTTCAAAACCTCTTATATTGATATTCTTTGATGGTTAATTTTAGCATATAGTTATTCTGGGCAGACCCAGTGCCGGAGGCTCCCACATGAGTGGGGTCTGGGGAAGGGATAAACCGAGACAAGCCTTTCCCCCGCAAAATCTGCGGAGAGGCTGCTTCGAACCCACGACCTGGTAACTCAGTGAGACAGCTCTCACCACTGCATCAGGCCTGCCCTTCTAGCATATAGTTATTCTGATTAGGTAAAAATAAAATGTAACAGTTTGTTACACCTAGGTTACTCTTTGATACTCCTTTTCCCCTGGAAGTTAACTTGTCTTATAAAATTTTTTACATGACTATAAGCTAATATGGTGAATCTTGTAATGCAACTTTTGACTTGGATACAAATTTGGATTCAGTTGGCACTAAGTATATAATGAAGTGGGACACATAATACCCTTAACTTGATTTGATGATTTCATTAATCCCTCGTTGCTGCATGATACCCAGGCCTGCTTTGGCTTCTGGGATTACCAAATTAAGGACTTCATTTGGATGACACTCTAAATTTCCTGAACTAGGTCTTCTCTTTTAGAAGGAAAAAAAGCAATGTATTTGTACCATTATATTCATGCAAGTCTTCTAATTCATAAGAGCTGTGATAATAATCTTGTTTAAATGTTGCCATTATGTCTGCTATGTTTAGAGCTAATTATGTGATTCCTATTTATTCAAGTGGAGATGTGAACTTCATTTTTGTGGCCTTGCATTTCAGGCTGAATGCTATCATTATCTTTTAGATGCTTGCATCAAGCTCTATCAGCTAGGTATTGATTGGACAACTCCTGAGCATGGTCCAATAAACAATGCAAAGAGACAGCGCAGCATTTTGAGCTCTGAAATTCCTAATGGATGTCATGCTGCTGATTCATCAAAGGTTATT